TGAGGAATTTGCGTATGCCCACGAAACCTTGCATGGCACTTTTGCAGGCCAGCGACCGCACAAACATACTTTTTCAAAAAATCGTAACCGAGTAATAAAAAAGTTTTTCACTTTGGGCCCTATATTAAAACCCGCTCATTGGATGTAAACACTGAATCACTAAAATACGAGTAATCTTGACGCCAAATTGCTCATTTTGAGACATCGGCACCACCCTGCCCCAAATTTCCGTGTTAGCTGTGTTTGTATCTCCTTCTTTTAAAGTGTTTACTGATTTTGTATCTTTACCCCCTAATACTTCCACGTTCTTTGTATCGCGCAACACACTGGGTCCATGTGTACTTCTGTCTAATAGATGTGTACTCTGTCGAATCCATAGTCTATGAAACTTGGGTGTGTGTGTCTTTTTAAGTGTGTGTTTGTGTGTGTGTTTGTGTTTGTGTGTGTGTGTGAATGTGTGTATAGGTCTGTGTGTGTGTTTGTGTGTATAGGTGTGTGTGTGTGTGTGTGTGTGTGTGTGTGTGTGTGTGTGCGTGTGTGCGTGCGTGCGTTCGTGCGTGCGTGCGTGCGCGCGTGCGTGCGTGCGTGCGTATATACGTGCACATAAGGAAGAAGTACGTTAACGGAAGATGAGTGGTCAGGGGGGAGGGGGAGGCTGCTCACCCTCGCTGTTTTGCCGCCAAGTTGCATGTTGTTGTTGTTGTTGTTGCTGTTATTTTTTTAATCCCTTTAGAGTCTAACTGAGAGCATTTCGCTCTTGGCAACGCAATGCCTCCCTCAAGTAACCACATGTCCTTGCCATCTGGTCAACGCCAGAGTAGAGCAGGCTTTGTTAGTCTGTAGGTGTGTGTAGGAGTGCGTCGAAGAACTGCCAGGGGGTGGTTGTTGTTGTGTTTTTTTTTGGGGGGGGGGGTTGGGGTTTTCTTGTTTTTTGGAGGGGAGGTAAGTGTTTTACGGCGCTCGCAACTGCACTGCCATGTTTGGGAAATGAAGGAGAAGATGTTCAATGGTGTCCTCGTGGTAGTCACAGTGATTGAAATAAACCAAATGTACCTACCTACTCCAACAGGCAAGTCCCTGCTGTGGGTCGGTGTCTTGGGTCTCGTGGTCTTCTACCTGTACGGCATGATAGGCTTCGCCCTGATGCGCAGCATGTTCGACCCCGGGGAGTACCTGTACTGTAACACGTTATGGCAGTGCACCATAACCGTCATACGATACGGGCTCATTGGGGATTTGTTCGAGGTGAGTGGTGATATCGGCGTCTGTCTGTCTGTCTGTCTGTTTGTTTGTCTGTCTGTCCGTCTGTCTGTCTGTCTGTCTACATGTCTGTCTGTCTGATTCTATGTATTTTTCTTTCTTCTTTTTTCCTCTCTCTCTCTCTCTCTCTCTCTCTCTCTCTCTCTCTGTCTCTTTCTCTCTCTCTCTCTCTCTCTCTCTCTCTCTCTCTCTCTCTCTCTCTCTCTCGTTATCCCCAACTCTATCTGTTTTATTTTATGCGTGCACTTAGTAATAGCATAATTATGTGTGCATACATGCGTCCCATGTACCAGTTTCCACGAGAGTGTAAACGAAAGTAGATCTTTAACATGTCTATATAAATATCAGTATTTAATAAATAGACACTGCAGGACAGATTTGTGTGTAATTGTGTATCTGTATTTGTATCAGTGCGTGTTAGTATTTACATATGTGTGCGCGTTTTGGGGTTTATGTGTGTGCGCCATTGTATTTTTTTTTCTAAGTGAAGTTCCTATTCTCAATCCCTTTTCACATACCCCGAGCTTTTATGCTGAAACGAAGCCACTCTGCCTAATTTCTATAATGAATAAATACACTGAAGAAAGCATCCAAAGCTACTACAAAATACAATTACATGTACATGTGATAGGTGTAACTCTCATGAAATTGAAGATGAATTTCACTTTATTTTTTATTGTCCAAATTTTGCCAATCAAAGAAAATTGTGTTAATTCCTCCCAGCCTGACTCGGCCCAGTGACAGAAATATGCAATGTTTTGACCCATGATAAGAGATAATATAATATGCACAACCTGTACTATTTCAATAATGAAATTTTATTTAACAAAATAGTGTTTTATAATAATATTATGTGATGTGGGCCGACGGCCTTGAACTCTGAATAAGCGTACTATAAATGCACACAATAATGTTATAACTGATCTCCATTCCAACAGGTCATGAAACCGCACAGCAACGAGAAAACTTTTGAGAAATTCGGCGTCGTCGTTTTCTACCACGTTTCCTTTTTCATCTTCATCACCACCATAGGTCTCAACATCATCTTTGGTATCATTGTCGATACATTCTCAGAACTTCGAGATCTCAAGGTAAGCAGTCAACAACAAGATAAAGTCTACGTTAATATTGTAAGGTGGAAACGGAGCAAGTGAGGCATTTTGAAGGTTCCGTATTTGGATCTCGATCTCGATCTCGATCTCTCTCTCTCTCTCTCTCTCTCTCTCTCTCTCTCTCTCTT